AGGACAGGGGGCCACGGTACGATTAATATAGAAAATATCGTTATTGTTATTTACATAACGTACAAAACTAGAACGTTCTAGTCGATCGAACGATCGAACGATCAAGCGACGTCGCACGATCCGAAACCCGACGACGATCGACGGATCGAGCGACGGATCGTCGGGGGTGGAATCGTGCGTCGGCTCTCGGTGTCCTCGGTATACAACAATTATCATCGCCGTGTATGTATGTATGTGTGTCTGTGTGTGTTTTCGTTATAGTTTCGAGTTCTACCGGGTGGTTAAATTAGGCTCTGCTATCCCTTCGTAAGCGAGTTTATGAAACGAGAGAAAATTCTGGCGGAACGGCGGAAGAAAAAGAAAAAAGGGAAACAAAGAGTTACGGACCGTTGTTTGATTATCGAAGCAGGCGCGCGCCCCTCGCTTGTCCATCGCGAGACGAACGAACGTAATCGACGCGGAAAAGGAAACGCGGAAGCCGAACTTCGAATTCGTGACGATCGGAGATTTCTGGATCAACGGAAACGGCGTATAATTTCGCAAATGTCCGTGGAATTTTGACGACAACGTTTCCGATTGGACGTCGAGGGGCGGGGAACGAACGGCACGCGGAACTGGCGCACGATCGAACGATGAAAACGAAGGTGGACAATCGAACAGAAGCGATCGAACGAAGGCGGCTCGATGTCGCTTCGCGTGCGGCCTTGCAGTTACATTCGATTATCGCTGGTGCATTTCGCGAAAGCTATGAATCGTCGATCGAGCGTTTTCGTGTACGTCGTGTTTTACAATTAATTGAGCGTTAGGCAGCTCGTAGTATTCGTTCGACGGGAGTGCGAAGGCTTAAACAACGAAGGCGTATGTACATCGACGCGTTCCGAGTCGGCTTTCGGTTTTTTCTCTCTTTTCTTTCTTTTTTTTTTGTTTCATTTTCTCTTTTCTCTATTCTCGGGAACACCTTAGCTGAAGAACACAACGTCGCGCTTCCTCGAAGCCGGAATCGTTTCCTCGTGGAACGATCTTCTAGGGATACGGGGACCGATGAACGCGGGACTAGGGGCCCACCAAAGTGTTCGTTCAGCTTTTGAAACGCGATAACTTTTTTGGAACTGGACTAAGTGATTTGGATTCTTTTTTTTTAGATGATAGAGGGTTTAGTTTATTGGGCGATGACTGGAATGCTTTTCTTTCTTTAATTTTGCTATTACTTGGGATGACAAGAAAAAGATAAGGAATTCTCGTTTCTTAACTTTTTTATCTGAGCCTATGATAAAAATTTATAGAAATCGGCTCACTTTGTTACGAGTTACAAGAAATTGAAGATCGCAAAGATCGCTATTTTATCACGATTTTCACCAATAATGGCATTAAAAAGTAAGAGATCTGCATTTCGCAAAATCTTTCAACGATCTCGATCAAATTTTCGTCACGCGTGCAAGTTACCGGGATCTACGAAAGGCATTCATTAAAATTTTCGTTACAGGCTCAGATAAAAAAGTTAAAAACCGAGGGTTTTTAATATTTCCTTCTCACTCCAAGTAATAGCAAAATTAAATAAAAAAAACCTTCTTAGCCATCGTCAGATAGACTAGTCTCTCTGTCATCTAAATAAAATTCAAGTAATTCAGTTCAGTTCTCAAAAAATTGAAGAAGGTGTGCGAACACTTTTACGGGCAACTGTATACCGAAACAAAATTCTGAACCGGAGGATCGGTTCGTCCAGGGTTGGAAAACGTTCCGAAAATAAACCATTCAGCTGTTATTTTTCATTTATAACCGTTTCGGTTATAGTACATCGTACATATTGGTAAACAAATGCATCGTATTTATTTAAGACGTTAAGATTATCGATGCTATACTTAGGTAAAAAAATTCCGCGATCGCGCAGAACCGAAACGAAACGCTGAAAAACAACAGTTTCCGGAACCGATATGACACCGGTTTTCGATGAACCGAGAAACCGAAGTCGCGATTGTTTCCAACCCCCGAGCTCGTCGATCATCGTCGAATTTCGAAAAGGACAGCAGAGACGACGAGTCGTCGACGAGGATCTGCGTCCGGCAGCGAGATTAAACCGGTAAATGCTGCGTACAAAATGGCGGACGAGAGGATATGTGTCTGACGAGCCGCAACCCCCGCCCCCGTCGACTCGTCGTTCCCTGTCCCGAAACACGTGGGTGTGATTTCCAACGGGAATCCCAGCGAGGCCGAATAAAAAAAAATCCGTCGAAAAATAGATAGATCCTCGGCTGTTCGTAGAGCAAGATCGCCGAGAAACGGGATGGGCAACGATGATCACCGAGGGAAAAGTTTGAACAGAAGGGCGCGACGAACGTGCGAAACGAGGAAGGAACGATTCTGAATGATCGTTGTCCGCAGTTAAAGTGTTGAGATGGCGCAACCGGAAGTGGATGACCGAGGGAACAGCACGCTCACTCATTCTCCTTACAAAAATACGTTGGACGGAACCGACGACGAGTCTCTTTCTCGTACTCGCACTCGCTCATGCACTCTTCCTTGATCTCTCTCTCTCTCTCTCTCTCTCTCGCATACTCTCTTTTTTTATTATTGTAAATTTTCCGTTTAGGTAAAACAGCGTTAAAATTGCGTTTGAGCGCTCCACAGTTCGATTCCTTTCGCCATCTTTGTTCCATCGAGAATTCTGCGGGATCTGCCGCGATCTCCTTAAAACGGAGGTCGACGCGGGCCGAAGCAGGATGTCCTTGGAGCCGCAGAGAAAAATATTCGTTGTTCAGGTGTAAAGGTAATTTACTTGATCACATGGTATAAAAACAGTTTGTTAATAAAATAGGCCGGGGGTGAGGTACATTTCACGAGGCGGGTGCGCGCGCGCCCTTCGGGCTCCCACGAGTCCTCCTCCTCCTCCTTCTCGACGTTAAAGCCGATCGATTCTTCGAAACGCTCCACGATCGAACATCCCTTAATTAAATACATCCCGGAGGATTAATCTCGGCCGGAAATTCCGAGGGTCTCCGACGAGAGACACTCTGCGCGAAACCGAAACGACCGGAGTCGCTTCGCTCGCGCGCGGAGGCCTCGTCGAATTTTGTCGAATATCCGCGGTGAGGTTCGCATAATTTTCCTGGTCTAATCGTGATTGCCTCCAGCGTCGCTGTCTCTCCGATCCCTGACAAAATTGTCACTGGAACACGATGTCAAAAGGCTTTCGCAGAGTGTGTGTCTGTACAGCTTGCAGGAGAAAAATCCAAAATCGAACTCTCACTCTATGTCTCTTTCTTTCACTCTTTCACTCTCCCCTCCCCCCCTATCGCGAATTCTCATTATTATTGTACACGGCTCGCGACCGATAACTAGTACGATTTTCAAAAAGCACTGCGCGGTCTCGGAATTCGCCCGCGAGAACGACGCGTCGCGCGGTGCAGGCTGAGCTTTTATTTCCATAGACAGTTCGAAACGAAACGATTCTTTTGCTGCATCGTCGATAAAATTTCAACGGCGGACTAGAGTGCTCCCTTGAAAAGACTAATTCCGTGGGGTCTCAGCTTGCACGCGATCGACGAAGGTCGCGGATCTGTTCGCGGCTAGAATTACATTCGTCGATTACGTTTCGCGTGATTTAACCAGGCCGATCCAGCCGATCGACGGAACCGAGGCTGTTCCGAAACCGGCCGAGCCGTTTCTCTCCTCCTCCTGCTTTGTAAAAGTTGCTCGAAAAATCGTGGAAAAACGAGGGGACGAACCAACAACAACCCCCCTTGACACGCCGCGACCGCCGAACGTCCAGCAAAAATGCCGAGAGCTCGGAGCGATCCGATCGGAACATCGACGCCACGGCGAATTTCTGAACGGCGGACGTCGTGTCGGCGGCGTTCGCGATCGAAGAGGCGTTGGTTCGATGGAATAGACTTCGAAAATCGGATCGAAAATTTCGAAAATATCTCGAAAGCCTCCGGCGATAGATCAACGCCTTCGGCGTCCTCGATTTCGGGGGTTTCAAGACGCACGATCGGGGTAAATTCTCCCTGATCGACCCTCGGATTTGTACACGAAAATGGATAATTTTGGAAGAGGAGATACGATCGCGGTAATGTCTCCCTAATTCGCGCTCAGATTGCGCGCAAAAATGGACAATTTCGGCAGAGAAGATGCGTTTATTCCAGCCCTGCAGTTTCGTTCTTATAGTTGTCGGAAATCTGTGACTATAAAAACGTGCCCGCAAGGCTCAAACGATCGTATCTCTTCTTTCCAAATTGTCCATTTTTGTGCGCGATCTAAGCGCGAATTAGGGAGAAATTGCGCCTCGTTTTTATAATCGTTCACACAAACTAGAGACTATAAAAATGCACGGCGAGTAACAATATATCCCCTCCTCTTTCCCCTCTTCCCAAATTATCCAGTTTTGTTTACAAACTGAAGACAAATTAAGAAGAATTTACTATATTCTTTTCGCTCCTCCTCTCCGTCTACCCGATTTCCATTTTTATATCATTTTGTTAATGAACGGACGCAAATGGCTCTTGCAAAAATACAATATCTCTTCGACCTTTCTCTCTCTCTCTCGCTCTATCTCTCTCTCACTCTCTCTCTCATTCGGTTATCCTAAAATGAAACGCGTAACTACCTACTCCTTAATTAAACGTCATTTTTAATCGTCGTCGGGGGGTCCTCGCCGGAAGTCGCGAGGCTGGCAAGAAGGCCGCCGAAAAGCACGCCGCGAACAACGTTCCCCGCGGACAAGAAAAATTCCGTCGATCGTCCGCGCAACGTAAAACGCGAGATATACATATCTATCTATATATATATATATATATTATATGACAATAATATACAGTGCTTCTCGTCGCGGCTCCAAGGCCGGGACGGCGGAAGGAAAACAATGATCACGGACAGATCGATGGAAATTTCTCCTCTCTCCCGCTGTGTCTCTCTGCTCGTCTCGCGCAATGTCTCTGTACAAGGTCATCGTTGAACGTTGCTCTTCCTCCAGACGGGCCTCGGACCGGACACGAGGAACCGACGGGTGCCGACGAACGGAGCAGGAAGAAACGGCGACTCGCGGGCCGATCCGTCGCGCCAACGCCGCGGGCAGACCAGCTCGAACGACCGGCCCTGCTGACGAACGATGCTCTGCCGTTCCACGCTTCTTCTTCCTCCAGGGTCCTTGATGATCGCGGTCCTCTGTCAGGTGACGACGAGCCTGGCGGCGGCCTGCGCGTTGCTGTTCAGCCGTGGTCACTCGAGGCTTCTCATTAATACTGCCAGCTCGCGGAAGGTCGCGCCCAGCTTGCCCGGCGTCGACTGCTTCTTCAGCAACACCCCTCTGATCGTCTGCAGCTTCTCGTAGCAGGAGAGGCACTTGTGGTATCTGACGAACGGTCACCGGTTAACGAGCTAGGTCTTAGCTAGGATGTAATCGCGTGCTACCGCGATGATGAGCGTGTTAGCAGCTTCGGGGTGCAAGGATTGGCCTAACGGCTAGTAGTAGCTTTCCACGGTCGTTGAACAGCTTACCGAGGACGGGGTCTACTAGCCGATGATGCAAGGACGAGCGGCGGAATAATTGCTCTGATTTATGAGCAGAAGATCGGAGGATCTTCTGGCTCGATCAGCGAGAGAGTTCGGAGCTTTTGACGATGCGAGGATAAGGTCTAAGGCCTTCGCCGATCATCGAACGACTGCCGAGGACGCGGCTGTCGGTCGATGATCGCGAGCGTTAAGAGCTTATGGCAGGGTAAGGAGAGCAGGTGGTTAGAGCTCGGATGCGTGGAAACTGGTTCCTCTAGTTTTTTTATTTTTTTTTTTTCAGTAACGAGCAGAAAATGATAACACGTCTTCTGATTAGCGATCGCGGGCGTGGGCGAGGGCGAGCTTTCGGGGTGATTGCGTGCATAAAGTACAAAGATCGTCGTGCAAATCACTCACCGTTCCTCCCGCGACACGTCCACGCCAATCGAGTGCAAGGGCGCCTCCACGTTCGATTTTATCACCGACGCGAAATTCCGCAGGATCAGCCTCAGCGACGACGAGCCCACGGTTATGTACCTGGAACAATCGGAGGATATGGATGTGGATAAGTAAATAATTACGAAATACAAATGAATATAAATAAGTAAAAGATAATAAAAAGGTAATGAAGATTGACCGGCCTGTATGGCCGCGTGAAAGTAAGAAAATTTACTTTATCTAGATTTTGTACGGTTCTTGTTGTAACTGTTACTATAATAATGTAATTTGGTCGATCATTTCTCGTGAAGGTAACTGCGATTTTTATAATTGCAAAATGAGAAACCGACCATTTGACTTGTGGTGAGGTAAGTGTTGAAATGCATACGGTAAATAAAAGTAAATAGAAATAAATAGAAATAAATAAAATAAATGGAAGTAAATAGACACAACTAGAAATAAATAAAATAAATAGAAGTAAATAGACATAAGTAGAAATAAACAAAATAAATAAAAGTAAATAGAAATAAATGGAAACAAGTAAAATAGATAGAAGTAAATAGAAATAAATAAAATTAATAGAAGTGAATAGAAATAAATAGAAATAAATAGAAATAAATAGAAGTAAATAGAAACAAATAAAAATAAATAGAAGTAAATAGAAATAAATGAAAATAAATAGAAATAAATAAAACAGAAATAAATGAAAACAGCCATAAATAAGTCCAAACATATAGAAACGGTGGAGAAGCCGGCGATAAATAAGAGCGAAACAAAGCTGTCGGGGAAGGTCGCGGCGAGCATGAAGAGGGAAAGGATGAGAAAGCTCGGAACGAGAGCAGAGTCGGCCACCCACCGTTGCTTGTCACGGCTGGTTTGTTCCAAAACGTGTTATTAGCCCATAACGGCGCCAATAAATAACGAAAGGCACGAAAGGCTTGGGCGGCCCGGATTCGACGCGCTCGCTTTCGGAGGACGGTAAAGGGTTCGCTCCCGTTCGAATCGGCCTGACGAATCGCGCGGACCGCCTCGTAAATGTTTGGCGTAACGTCCGTGCAACAATGTCGTTTCGCCACCGAGCCGTGCGGTGCGGACGCTTCTGCGACATGGTCGCGGTTCGCTTTTCCCGGCAGGGATTCGCGAAACGGGGAACCGGTTCGACGGGGGCCGCGGTTCTCGAAAATCTAGAGGGAGGAGGCTGAATCGGCGCGGGTCCGGGACCCCTTGAAAAAAAATGGCACGCGCCCCCATCGAATATTCATCGGCGCGGGCACAGCTTTTTTTTCTCACGGGCGCCCCGCCGCCGCCGCCTTTCGGCGTGCCCAGGACGACGAAAGCGCGTGACGAACCGGCCGTGAAAACGGCGAACATCTCTATGCAAACTGCACAAAGGCCGTCGCTTCGGCCTAGATGTGTATATTTAGCCGAAACGATCCGCCGGCACAGATTCGTCCTTTCCGGTCCGGACCGGCGGCGGCCCGGAAGCCGTTTCTCAAGCAAACGGCAAAAATCTAGGACGACGACTCCCGACGCGTCGAGACTCCTCGGATAACACAATGAACGGTTGCGCAACAACAACGCGGGGAGACAGATCGAGGTGCATCGTTCCGACACGGAACACCGCGTACGTTTGATTGAAGCCTAATCACCGAAAAGGGGATATAGGGGGGTGGTTGGCGGCGCAGGAAGAAGGGGGTGGTCGCGCAAACGGCCGAACGAGACTGTTACACGATCGGCCGTGGACACACGGCAGCTGCCGAGCGATCGACAATTAGCACGAATTCACTTTTATGGCATCGGCAACGTGCGCACGAACTCGGCCCTCGGCGGAGACGAGGAGGGTGCTGCACTTCCGAACGGCCGTGAGCAGCGACCGTGAACTTCGGAAGCTCGATCTACGCGAAAGTGGCTATGTCGAGAGGCTTAAATGATCTTGAAGATACGATCAACTTAGCGAACATGATCTTTGAAAGGGTCGAAGGGCGTTAAAAGAATTTTGAGATCGCTATGGAAATTTCGAGAGCGGCGGCAGTTAGAAAAGCAATCAATTTGAATCAATTTTTAATAATAATAATAATAATAATTTTTCTTTGGTTTTTATAGCGGGAGTAAATCTTCAACAACATCCCCGAAAGAGGGCAGACTCCTGAGGTATGTGGGGGAGTTTAATAATAATAATAATAATAATAACAACAATAATAATTATATATAATAATATAATTATTATAATATAATTTATAATAATAATGATTTTTCTTTGGTTTTTATAGCGGGGGTAAATCTTCAACAAGTGGCATGTGGGAAGTTTAATAATAATAGTAATAATAACAATAATAATAATAATGTAATTATTGTAATAGAATTTATAATAATAATATTTTATTTGTGATCAATGCAAGGAAAATCCCTGTGTCGTAATAATATGACAGTCAGTCTCGTAAGCAGCATATCAGAAAGAAAAAAGAAAAGAAGGGATGATACACACACACACACACACACACACACACAATGAAAAAATACAATAGAAGAGAAAATAAGTGATCAAGATAAATTAAATAATGTGAAAAGAAGAAAGGAAATAACGAAGACTATAATACGGTATGAGATCTCATTGAGGCAACGAACGATAAGATGAGAAAATAGAAAAAATAATATATATTATTATATTTATATATATAAAATGATATATAAATAATAAAATAATATATATATATAGATAATAAATAGAAAGAGAACGAGTAGAAAAAAAACGAAAAATTGAGAACGAAAAGAGTTCTCCTCGTCGCAGTCATGAAGAAAAAACGAGATCATTATCATCACAGTGTTGATAACAGCTGTAGACAATCTACGAAAGCGATATGTCACCGACGATTTCAGAGAATTAGGCTTCGGGATAAGGAAAATTTCGTCAATCAAAGAAGCAGAACTTCGAACGAAGAGAGAGAGAGAGAGAGAGAGGGAGAGAAAGAGAGAGAGAGAGGTCACGAAAAACATTGAGAAGTCTTGAAAAAAATTGGGGAACCTCGAAAACCCAAAGAATATGAAGAAAGAGAGAGAGAGAGCGGCGAGAAATGTTTTCGAAGGAAAACTCGATGATCAGAAAACTCGTAGCAGCATGAATCAATTAACAAGCCCGTGAATAGTCCGGTGAATATAGCAGACTACAAATTGAATCGCCGTCAGCGCCGTAAATCGAGGCGCGCGCGTTCTAATAATAGCAATGACAGGAGAAGAAGAAGAAGAAGAAGACGAAGAAGACGAAGAAGAAGTGAAAAAGGAAAATCGTCGCAATAAGCGGGACGGCTAATGAATGGAACGGCAATTTTCCGGGCTGCTGGTTTCAGATCACGAACAGAGGAGCAGATGTATTATTAGATCGCGGCACGATTGGGTCATCATTGAATCAACGCGAGGAAGTTATTATTTACGATAATAGGCGTGGAGGAGAAGCGATCGATCCGACGATCGTTAAACGGTCCGGCGACGTCCGTGCGAATCGTGGTCACGCCAGGGATCGACGGGGGCAAGATCGTCCGCGCGGACGGATCGCGGTAATCGCGCCGCGCTTTGTATAGAAATTGCGACGGACAGCCGCGCGGAATTCATAATGCGCCGCGTTGTTTATAATTGGCGTGGTACGAAACAGGAAGAGACGGATAACCAGCGCGCACGTGAAAGGAAATGCTCGTTTCTGGTCGCGACAGCGCAATGGCAACAGCTTGTAACTGTGCGCGCCTGGCTAATTAACTGGTTCCGAAGCACCGGTTCCACCCTCCGTTTCATTTCTTTNACACACACACACACACACACACACACACACACACACACACACACACACACACACACACACACACACACACACACACACACACACACACACACACACACACACACACACACACACACACACACACACACACACACACACACACACACACACACACACACACACACACACACACACACACACACACACACACACACACACACACACACACACACACACACACACACACACACACACACACACACACACACACACACACACACACACACACACACACACACACACACACACACACACACACACACACACACACACACACACACACACACACACACACACACACACACACACACACACACACACACACACACACACACACACACACACACACACACACACACACACACACACACACACACACACACACACACACACACACACACACACACACACACACACACACACACACACACACACACACACACACACACACACACACACACACACACACACACACACACACACACACACACACACACACACACAATGAAAAAATACAATAGAAGAGAAAATAAGTGATCAAGATAAATTAAATAATGTGAAAAGAAGAAAGGAAATAACGAAGACTATAATACGGTATGAGATCTCATTGAGGCAACGAACGATAAGATGAGAAAATAGAAAAAATAATATATATTATTATATTTATATATATAAAATGATATATAAATAATAAAATAATATATATATATAGATAATAAATAGAAAGAGAACGAGTAGAAAAAAAACGAAAAATTGAGAACGAAAAGAGTTCTCCTCGTCGCAGTCATGAAGAAAAAACGAGATCATTATCATCACAGTGTTGATAACAGCTGTAGACAATCTACGAAAGCGATATGTCACCGACGATTTCAGAGAATTAGGCTTCGGGATAAGGAAAATTTCGTCAATCAAAGAAGCAGAACTTCGAACGAAGAGAGAGAGAGAGAGAGAGAGGGAGAGAAAGAGAGAGAGAGAGGTCACGAAAAACATTGAGAAGTCTTGAAAAAAATTGGGGAACCTCGAAAACCCAAAGAATATGAAGAAAGAGAGAGAGAGAGCGGCGAGAAATGTTTTCGAAGGAAAACTCGATGATCAGAAAACTCGTAGCAGCATGAATCAATTAACAAGCCCGTGAATAGTCCGGTGAATATAGCAGACTACAAATTGAATCGCCGTCAGCGCCGTAAATCGAGGCGCGCGCGTTCTAATAATAGCAATGACAGGAGAAGAAGAAGAAGAAGAAGACGAAGAAGACGAAGAAGAAGTGAAAAAGGAAAATCGTCGCAATAAGCGGGACGGCTAATGAATGGAACGGCAATTTTCCGGGCTGCTGGTTTCAGATCACGAACAGAGGAGCAGATGTATTATTAGATCGCGGCACGATTGGGTCATCATTGAATCAACGCGAGGAAGTTATTATTTACGATAATAGGCGTGGAGGAGAAGCGATCGATCCGACGATCGTTAAACGGTCCGGCGACGTCCGTGCGAATCGTGGTCACGCCAGGGATCGACGGGGGCAAGATCGTCCGCGCGGACGGATCGCGGTAATCGCGCCGCGCTTTGTATAGAAATTGCGACGGACAGCCGCGCGGAATTCATAATGCGCCGCGTTGTTTATAATTGGCGTGGTACGAAACAGGAAGAGACGGATAACCAGCGCGCACGTGAAAGGAAATGCTCGTTTCTGGTCGCGACAGCGCAATGGCAACAGCTTGTAACTGTGCGCGCCTGGCTAATTAACTGGTTCCGAAGCACCGGTTCCACCCTCCGTTTCATTTCTTTCTCATTCATGCCACCTCCGTTTCCACGGAATCATTATCGTCTCGTCCACGAAACGGCTGGGAAATTTCTCATCGAAATCACATTATTAACCCTTAACCGATACACTGGGACGCGCGATCCTACCGCTTAATTTTACACCATACTTAATCTTCTAATTAACATTCTGATCTAGTAACCCATATGTGTGTATGTGTGTGTGTGGGTAATGGAATTATTCGCCTACATTTCTTTTTTTTTATTATTTTATATCTGTAGAATATTACAATGAATCCACGAGAGTGGTGTGTAAAAATACGCCGAGATAAAAGTATGAGATGATTCTGTTATATGAATTTATTCTTTGAGTCCACTGGATAATTGATTTTTGCGTTGATATGGGATACGTTGTAAACTTCGTTAGGGTCCGCAGAACGTAAGAAAACTGAAAAGGCAATCGGTATATAGAAATCTTGATTTCTCAATGTTCGTTTCATCGAGTGGCATTTTTTGATTTTATGAAGATTTTTCAGGCTGCCGGATCGCGACAGTCGTTGATTTTCCACATTTTCCATAATTTTATACACAAGCTAAGAATCAAATATCGAGCAAATATCAACCTAGGAGTTGGCGCAACGTTAAAATCCTTCGGGTGGATCTGTTTAGTGGACTTTCCCGATGAAATTTGAACGAATTGCGAGTGGAAAGCCGAAGGTGAACGGTATCTGGGTCGACCTTCCTACGCCGGCATTAATATTCATGCTCGGCCTCGGTAGGACAAAAAGAAAGAATGACAAAAAGGATTTAGCTGTCCGAGAGAAACGTCAGCATATGCACGGACGCACGCGTGGCCCATCGAACTTGAAGCATCGGGGACAATCGTCGCGCGACACCGAGGATCCCCGAGGCTCGAATTTGCATCTGGCGATGCCCCGCATTGTCTCGGCTAATTTCGCGCCAGCCCTCTATTCCCTTTCGCCTCGTGTTTCCCCCGTTCGGCAAATTAGCCATTCCCATAGTGCCGACGGTGAAGCACGGGACCCCACTCGAAAACCCACCCTGTTTGCATCGCACGGAACTCGAGAACTCGTCCCCCCCTCCCCACCTCTCTCGGCGCCCTTCGCAACCCGTCCGAAGGGCTGTCTCGATTTTCTTCAATTCACCGACCGTGTAGTGTTTCACCGTTGAAAGTGGAGTAACGTTAGACGATGATACGCTCGAACTGACACCGTGTGCGCGCATGCATTCAATTTCCAGGACAAAAACATTGTTAACGCTGGAACTAGTTCTCTGTTCGCTTCTAAATATAAGTAAGTAAAATATCAAATAATAAACGATATCAATATATATATATTTTGAAGAATCTATAATCGATCTAGCTAAGTTCCAACGTTAACGTGTCTAAGATTTCTGTTATACTCACATTTCGTATTTACTTTGGAGGAGATCTCCGATCGGGCCCAGCAAGGAGTTGCATAGATCCAGGTTCCACATTGTTCTGAAACCGAAGGTGATCGTGAACGCGGCTGCTAGAAGAGATCGGAGGTCGGCGAAGCTGTGCTACTCACGGTTTTACAGTCAATATTCCCAACAGATCGACGATCACTGAGAGATCGTTCATCGCCACAGCGGACTCCACAGCAGCCTGGAAACATGTAAACATTCGTTTCGGTTTCTGGCATTGTTGTGAAACGAGCAGCGATTCGTGAAGCCTATGGGATACCTTGAGGTCTTTGTGTTTCATCAGGGAGTAGGTGATCTGCAAGGACCGATGACGATTCGTCAGCACGGTCATCATCGACTCGTGGCCTCGCATCATGCTGTTGAGCACTTCGGCCTCGGACATCTCGTTCAGAACTCCGATCTGAGGGTAGCCGAACCCTGTCGAGCTCGCGAAATTATTCTGTAAGAGAAGCAAGTTTCATGATTCGAATGTGTACGGGTTTTCCTCGACAGCGTCGCGCGACATTAACGAGAAAACGCTCGTATAGAATGTACTAACAGGCAAGAAGGTTTCAACGTCCAGCCCATAAGGCTTGTCGGCGCTCATGGGGACGAATTCCTCCTTCTCCGTGGTCTCCACGCTCGGCCTCAGTTGAGACGCCCGTACGTCTACCTTAGGATTCGGGGGCACTTGAGCTTTGTTCGATTTCTTGGTCGCGAAGGTGGTGGTAGTGGAAGCGTTGCGTGCGGACAGCGACGTTGAGGTAGTAAAGTTCCTATTTAGCGAGGTGGACCTGGACTGCGCCGAGTTCGGCCTGTTTAACGCTGGATCAGAGGGGCTGTGCCTTATACTATTAATTCTGCAAGAACGCGGTGACACGTTAGAGCGATACAGAGCTTCGTCGATCGTTCGCCGAAGAAGATATACTTACTGTACCGGATAATCGCTTTCATAACCCTGTTCTCCGTCCTTACAACTACTCTGTCTCTTCAAGTAATGCTTAGGGGAGTCCGGGCTAGGTGCTCTATTCTTGAGTTTCCCATCGTCCATCACTGGAAGAACGGCAGCCATCGGCGCCACCCGCGGAGTCAACGTCGAGTTCGACCTCTGCGGGCCCAAAGGTTGTGGAAGCGTCCCTATGTCGCTGCTAGTGCCAAGCTTCTTGCCGGGAAGAGGAGTGATGTTTTGTCTAAGAGGGGGTATGGACGCCAAGTTCTTAGACGTCCTGGTAAGGCCATTGTTCGTTTGGTGTGTCTTCGCCTGGCTCGTCGAGGTCACCGCGCTTCTTTGAACCGGTGGCGACGACTTGATCGGCTGAACACGCACTGGTACCGGCTTGGACAGTAACGTCGGGGCGGGCGGGGGTGGGGATGACGGTGACGGCACAGGTGGAACTTCCTCTGGCACCACTGCGTTCAAATTCGACATTGAGGTAGAAAGATTCTGTAGTATCTGCGGTTGCGTGGGATCTGGAAATGGTAACGTGTGCCTGATTGTAACATATGCATCCGTAACAGTCGCATCCGCGGTAAACGGTGCAAAGGGTTGTTGTCTCATGCAGCCTCGGTTATCAGAAAAGGAAACAGAAAGGAGATTTCCATGGAACTCACCTAAGTCTTGAGGCTCCTGGAAAGCCTCGGGTTCTGGAGGTGGAGTGCGAGACACTGAAACATACCGTGCATAGCATGCTCATTCGCAGACTGATACGACACAACATTCAGATGCATTTGTATTGTTCAGGCTTGTGTGATTTGTAAGTGGATAGTTGACGGAGTTAGAGTAGAACAGAGTTTGAGTCGAGTTAGGGTAGAGACGATCGAGTCTTGCAATGGACGAAACGAGTAGCATCGATGCTTACGTGATCTGTTTGGTTGAAAGATGTCGTGATAGGCGGTGACATTGGGTATGTCCGCGTACGTTGCCTCGTCTTCCGGGTCCGTTCCAGACTTGTCCGCCTCCTCGATCGTCCGTACATCTAATCTGTAAGTAAAACAGTCATGGTTACGGTAAAGAAGCGTGAAAAATCTACGTCGACTTTGTTCCGCTTACGTGTGTTTCTTCAAACCAGGCGGCCTTTCCCTCGAGAAGCTCTTCCTCAACGAGTTCCCGTGACTAAACGACGAGTCGGACGTCGATACTCCTCCCAACGGCGCTATTTTCTTTAAATCGCATACGTATAAAACGACATTGGCAGTATGAAAACTTGCACCGATCTGAAAACGTTCATTGAAACAGATTTGAGCTAACGGTTCATCGTCTGGCGATCGAGATTTTTCCGTTGTATCGACTTACCAACTGGTTCTGGGCTACAGCTATGTCCTGCACTTTCGCCCAACCAGTCGGAACCGCGTCCAACGTGCGACCCGGTTCCCAACCATACACCTTTAACACATCATGGCAACCAGCGAAAAGGCATTCTCCGCCTTGACTGAAATAGAGGCACCTAACGAACGAGAAAAGGGTTTAATCAAGTACTTCGAATCTCAATACAGACGGTGATCGACTCGGTGAACGCGTACCGAATTGCTGTGGAGTGACTTTGATCTGTAGACGACACAAGCTGAAACGATTCCAGGTCCCAGAAATGAACTGTTCTATCTGCGCTGCCACTGGCTAATAAAAACTCGTGAGGATGAAACTCCACTGTTGTAGCCGGACCTCTGTGTTCGGAGAATTCTCTGAGTTGTCTGCCAGCCCTCAAGTCCCACAGCTAGTAAAGAAAGAGATCGATGATCCGATAGTAACATGGAACTACGTTGAACCAAAGTGATATTCGAGCGACTGTACCTTAACCATGCCTTCTTCTCCTGCACTGGCGATCCATTGGCCATCAGGACTGAATTTTAAACTGTTCACCATCCTATTGTGTCCTTTGTACGTGAAAATACAACCTTTCCTCCGAATGTCCCACAATTTAATTGCAGTGTCCGAGCTACCGGATGCCAGCAACTCCCCATAAGGATGAAAGTCCATGCAGCGTATGCCTGCCTTGTGTCCTGTTAACGTGCGGGCCAATTTAGCGTGCTCCAAGTCCCAGATCTTCAGTGCTCCTGTTTGTGAGCCAGCGCATACTAGATCCTCCGTTTGCCCGAATCTCACGCATTCTATCGGAGTGGTATGGCCGCTCAGGCTCTGTAAACGCGTCAGAAATAAATACTCCATCCGAATTTCTTTCGACCAACTATAGATAAGAAATCAATGTACCATAATACAGTTCTGCTTGCCGACTGCCCATAGATTGACCTTCTTGTCGTCGCCACCAGTGACCAAAACGCGACCAGACTTGTGACCCAGTGCCAGGCAATTGACATTGGACGTGTGGGCAACGAAATCCTCTGCACAGAAAAAACATGATCGATTAGAGCAAGCCGAACGAGATGTCAGTGGCTGGTGACATCACGGGCGCCGTGTATTTTACGATCCGGCGAAGGTTATGACCATAATAGGAAGATGCAGCTCGGAATTAATCGGCACCTAGGCACCGTCGTGCGCATTGTAAACAGAAATTGTTTACCCGTATCGGGCACGAATACCGCCGAAATGGAATTGCTCGGGCGCGAGCAGTACAGGAGTATAGCGCACAAGATACACAATCAGGATGAACACTTACGGAGTTTCCATGACCTCTTCGTGGACGAAGCCATGTTCCGGGACCGCAGGATCGCGTTGTTCACTACTTATTTGGCAACGACAACAATTCGAGACCTGAGCTTGCAGACGCAGAATTTTCTCTTGGCCGAGCTCGTGGTCAACATTTTGCACGTTTCTGTTATGATCTCTCGGTACGGCGGCGATCGTTCAACGGGGCGACAGCATCTCGCCGCGCGACACGGTCCTCTTCGCGATCCTTTCCTTGAAATCTCAGTCCGTTTTCAGAAACCGTTCGTTCCACCTCCTCGTCGTATCTCATTTCTTGAATCCTGCCTGTCCGTGGGCAGCGCGAACTAACGTGACGTTGAGAAATATCGAAGTTTCTCTGTTTCTATCGAGATCGCGTTCCGATCGATCGCGCCAGATGTCACCAGCTCACCGGTCAATTGCACATTGCACCCGAGACCGGAGCCACAACCGTCAACAACCGTTTAATTAAACATGGCTGACGGCTCGATCCAAAGACGTACGATTAAACATTATCGAAAAGTTTATCAGACCTGGCTGACCATCCTTCTGGAATCCACCGCATTATTACGCGATCTGCGTACGTTACGTCGCGCGTGACATAATCGCTGCTCCAAGGACTTGTCCGAGTTTCTGCAGGGTGAGGTTATATTCCCTCAAATGAACTGTGTAATCCTACCAAACATAGGTATATTGGGTACACGTATTATACACTTTGTTCTCTGAAATACACCAAACAAGAGCAAAATTAAGTAGATAGTACGTATATGTACGTAACGAGACTGTGGATCTTAATGAAAAATAAAAATTCTCCTAATTTTCAATTGTAAGAAACAGAAGTTAAGTAACAATGTATTGCTTGTTTGAATAATTTAAATAAATGAAGAAGAATGTAGGGGCATTCTTAAATACTTCTAATGTCTTCATTGTCTAGTATTTTACCCAGTCAATTTTAGCATAAATGTATGATTTGACAAAAATTTTGTTTATTGTTTCCATTATCTGTCAACTTAATATTGTTCCCCCCTGTATATAAGTTTTCTTTGTACAAACAATTCTCTGAAACATCGTAATTTAAATGATCTGTGCGCAGAGTACAATGTTTCCATATTTACGACCACGATTGTTGCCAATCACGATTAAAACATCCAATTTGAAAATACTCGGAAGGCAAATATCAGATTATAAGCAGGGTCAATCTCCTGAGCCTAAAGTTCGAGAATATTTCTATTATATCGATCATCAAGGAATGGTACAAGTTTATACTATTGTATGTTTGAAAATTTTATAACACTATTAGACTACTAAAAACGTATAATTGTCTATAGCTGTTCTTGGATGATGCTCGCATGAAAAATTTCACATCATGTTTTAAAGGTTGGCATACATCTTGAAAGACATCTTTTAAGCTGTACAACTTTTTGTATGACAAAAAATATATACTTTTTAGATAAAAAATTTTTGTCGTTCTTCTTCAAGCTCTTAAAGAAAAATGAGACAGGAAGGTATATGGAAGACTTCCCGTACATTTCACTTTGCGGTCGGGAAAGAAATTTTGTTAGATGCGATGATCTGCCAGTAGTATTTACTAAAATTCTGCAAAAACAGGATAATGAAACAGGAAAGGAGGTAGACTGGTTTGGCTATGCACATGCGGAAGAATTTTTGATGGTAAGTTTCAGAGTATACCTCAACTTTGAGTCTCAATAATACATTTATTCTAGGTACCTTTTGAACCAGGAAAATTATACATGAATATTCGGACTGGAAGAGTGTACCATCCTGCACCAGAAAGAGTAGGAGGAATAGGTCTAGTAAGATCAAAAATAGCAATTGAGCTAAGCACATTATTTAAGTTTGAAAAAGGTGAAGATCATGGTCCAACTCACTTTCTGTGGAAAGATGAAAGGTATTTGCTTGATTCTGAGTGGTGCAAGGACAAAGTACTACAGACTATGAGCTAAAAATAAATAAACTTTATTTTTAATTAAAAAAGGAAACAAAGTACAATATATATATGAACAACTTTCATAAAATGTACATAGATTTTAGATAATAACAAAGATTTTATATTTTTCTCTATGTAATAGATTACGTTATGATAGAGATGAAATATCAAAAATTCTGGCTGTGGAATCGTCGGACGTTGTTAATGCCTTTTCTCCATTCCTAAAACGCATTTGTATTATATTCTGTATCGTTCATATCCTGTTTGAGAAAAGTAGGCTCAAATTGCTTTGACTTACTCAGATATACACAAATCGAGGATATCTGCGGTGTGTCCCAGGAATGATTGTACACATAGACCAGTTCTTGCGTCGAAACATCTAAGAATACCGTCTAATCCTGCCGAGAATAGGATAGGTGTATTTCCCTTCCACACCAGTTTTGATATGCCGCTTTCTTGCTCAATTTTTTGCCTGAGTACCTAAATAGTTCCAGTGGAATTCAGTAATGTATACCACTAACATAAGGTTACATCTGAAGTAGTAAAAGTAGTAATACCTGTTTCGAGATATCCCAGATAAAAATTTCTCCATTAACTGTACCAGTTGCAGCAACTGGAAACGCCGGATCCTTGCAAAAAGCTGCAGTCTCTACCCAGTTGCTATCGCTATTGCCTTCGCTATTTTCAGCATCTTGGTCGATATTTTTTTCGCCGGCATTCAGTTCTTGCAGAATGGAAATTATCTGAAAATTGTACGTCGTATTACTTTCACTCCTAAAATATACTGAATATGTAAAATTCTTTATTACCTTGCCCGTATTCGAGGTACTGATTATAGTTTTTCCGTCTGTAGCAGCCGAAAGGACTAGATTATTATCGATATGACAATCAAGGGTGACGATAGTGGAGGAATGACCTAAGGAGGAAGAAATTGACGACAAGATGGAACTAGTTCTCAAATCTATTATCCTAATTATCCCATCTTCGTAACCAACGGCGATACGTCTGCCTGAAATGTTATATTCCATTTAGACAGGATTCTTTCAATTTTCCCAGCACATCGAGAAATTACTACCATCTGGAAAAATTGCTCCAGTCTCTGCCCGGCAACCATATCCCTGAAACACCTTGCAGTCTCCATTGGGTAATTTCCACATGTATATTTCTCCATCAACGGACCCTGCTAGCAACACATTCGCAGCAGTATGCCATTTCATCCACTGTAAGAAAGAATCTCTCTATTATATAGCTCACATCTTCGAGGACAGTTACAAAAATCAGACTAACTGTCGCATCCCCTATATTATACTCCCAAATCTTGGTCTTATCGGCTACTGTCCAAACTTGAATGAAACCGCTCATATCTCCTGTGGCAAGATAGGTTTCGTCGAAGTTAAACTCTGAAAAGATAATGCTATCTTTGTGTCCGGTACAGTCAAGAATAATCTCTCCGGACGATGTATCCCAAATGTAAGCTTTATCCTCCTCCCCCCCTGTGGCTGCTAGTTTCCCATTTTTTGATAAATAGCCACAGAAAACGGAACCTGAAATTTTCATTGAAATTATACTTATTCGTAACAATCCATTTCACCAAGGCAAATAGAACTTGCTTCACCTCGCTTGTGGCCGGTGAACATGCAAGATGCGTCTCCCTGCTCTACGGGTTCATCCCCCATTGCGTCTTCATCTCCAACATCTCCAGCTTCAAAAGCCTCAATCACTTCAACAACATCACCCACGTATATCATATCATCTTCGTCCATTTGACCATTCATGTCTGGTGAGGATGGCGGTGTATCTATCTCGGTCATTTACTTCAATATCTAATAAAGCGTGCAACAGGTCACGTTTTAAGAGGGTTACAAGTATCTTTAAGTAAGATATAAGCAAACGGAGTGGCGATTCGAAACACTTGTTTACCGCACTCTCCGGTCAAAATATGCGAGAGCCATAATATTCTTACCTTTGTTAAAAATTTAAGATTGCAGGTGACAGTTTCTCGTTCGAAAAAATGGAAATTCAAACACCCGTCAACAACGCTCTACTCTTTCGTGAATATCAGCTGATTTAGAAGTTTCGTCTATGTTGCATGCCCTGAACCTGAAAGAGTCTTGGTCCTGCTGAGAATGTAGATTTCTGTAATACCGAAAAATCGTATGTTCGTATTCTATTTTATCGATTATTAAAATATCTTAATGTTCATTATTTTATTATCGCTATGCATGCAAGTGTTCCGTTTGTTTTACGAACAATAGTAAATATTTCTTTTCTCCAGTTTGTTACAGTTTTCAGTTCAAAAGATTCAAATCGATCGCTACGATCCTTTCGAAGTCACGCCATCCATGAACGAAAGACTCGAGCATCTTCGCTCATTTACCGTCTATGGTAAGAGTGAACAATTTTCGAAAATAGTCGTCAGAAAATATCACAAAAAGGTATCAAAGATATTTTCTTATATTATAGACAAGATATCTTATTGATCGAAAGGACGACGCTGTGCTAGGCTTGTGGACAATGAAACCTGTGCCAGAAATCGAAAGGGAAAAATTATGGTCAACCGGTGTTGCCATCTCGTGGAAGTATCGTGCACGTTTCAAACTATTCGACGTTACATTTCAACTGATTGTTCATAACAAATAAGTTTCTTATTTCTTACAAGTCTGAAACTACCTTATAAATTTGTCAATATTTGTATGAACGTTGTAAATGTATACATGAACTGTAATTTTTAACAAAATAACATCCAGTGATGCGAGAAAACAAATTGAAAAATGTGCAAAATATTTATCCCGAGGGTTGAAAAGCTTTATTAGGAATGATTTTCTATGTATTTACTTGCACATTATATATGTTATATACATTTTATTACTATATATATACTTATATATGTTATACATTTTATTACTATACTATGTATACTATGTATATGTATATATTAAATATTATATTTTATTACTATACATTATTATACATATTATATAAATTTTTGTATATTATAGCTACATATAAAATACATAAAGGATCATTTTTGGCAGGGTTGTTCCATTTTTGTGCATTTCTCTGTAGAATTGTTTCATGATTCTTTTCTACATTATTAAGACAAAATTATTTCTTAATAAAATCATATATATATATATAGTAATATGTAAAAATAAATGTGGAAACAATTCTACAGAGAAATATATAATGTATCTATCGTCCTGAAAATAAAACAAGTTTATCATACATTTGCCTCCTTGTCACAAGACAAGAACTACAGAGGGAACCACTTTGTGCGACCATAATCCCATGATACCCTCGTCTCCTTATAACCCCTCGTCCGCAACAAGGCACCGTCCTTCAGGTCTATGACCCATAGCTATATCACGCCAGGACAACAATAATGAACATCAACGAGTGAACAATCATTGCCTAGCGTGTCCTGACTCCTTTCAGGCACCGAGTCCATTCAATTACGAATCGGTCCAGAAACAATAACGTCATCGCTCGAAACTAATTCGCGCCGACTTCACGAGCGCAGCGTTTGAAAAATAATCGTTACATAATTTTCTGCTAATCGCGTGCCGGCCCGCCGAGCCGATTAAGTAATAAAACATCTCCTCGTGCATCGGAAGTTCGGTTGTCATACGTCAATCGCACTCGTGTGTTACATCAGCCGCCGCATCTGCGTTCTCCCACTTAAGCGCTTCGGTCGCTCTTTCTCTCTCCCGTCGCCAGGATTTTCCTGCCGCCCTCCTCGGCAGCCTACTTCCATCTCTTTTCACAAATGGAAGCACACACCCGACGAGCCGGCAGTCTCGGTCAAGCTACCGCGCGGGTTAGTTATTCGGTCTGGTCTTTCCAAATTTCCTCGTCGACCACATGTCTCGAAAACGCAGAAATTCCAATGAGACGTCCGCAAAAATCGCGCCGATCTGATCGTCACGAAGCGCCCAACGTCGTCGCACGGACAAGAAGCATCAAATACCATCGTCGAACCGCGACGTCGATCCTACGAAGGATCTTAGACACGGCACGGAGGAACCGTCAAGAAAGTCGACTGACCCTCATGGCGAGATAACGGTACAAATAATTGCCAACGATGGCTTCGTCGACGTCGAACAGCCGCCAGATGATACGGGAAATTAGGACAATAGACACGTGATAGAAAGGCATCGTCGAGCGGTAACCGTGATCGGGAAGAAAGGAAATTATAAGAATGGCCGTGAAGGCAGCGAAATTTTCTTAACAGCCGGGAAGCTCTGGTACCTGCTGGGCCGTCGGTGGGGTGAAAGCACAGTCGTCTCGCCACGTGCCGCGCCGCTTGTCAAATCGATAACCACGTTGCAACAAAACTTAGACCAGATAACGAAGCTCTCGGTGTCGGTCTCCGTTAATTAGTATTTCTGATTTACCGTTTGATACTCGTTCACACCGAAACCGCAAGCTTTTTTCAAAGTATTCCTTAGACACGGACACCGTATATGAAACCGCGGCAAACTTACTTGGTCGAATAACCGAATAGTTTTGTAAATAGTAAGTATTTCGAACCGCTCGCGCATTAGCGTAGCAACCAAGAGTATTTTTTGACACGAATGAGATACATCGGTCTCGAACCAAGTGTTTGTAGAGACGAAGAAGACAACGTGTCGAAGCGAAACGAATCGAGAGAGAAGCGGACACAAAAGAGAGTACTTGGACAGTGATTTGATTTTGTTTTTTCAATCCGCAAAATCATGGAGAAAAGGAATAACGAGAATAACGAGTACTGGGTGTTCGGCTACGGGTCCCTGTGCTGGCATCCGGGATTTAAATACAAGAGGAGCGTCGTGGGACACGTGAAGGGTTTCATCAGACGATTTTGGCAAGGAAACACAACACACCGCGGCAGCGCTGAGAAAGTAAGTCTCCCGGGAACGCGTACGTTCTCGTTTCCATCCTCTGGGCCCTTTCTTTTCTTTTCTTTTTTGTGCAATATTTTTTTTTAACACTAAACCTAGCTTTTTTACATGGATAAAGCTTTTCATTAATAGTTATATATATAGTTATATATATAAGTAGTATAGTTATTATATATATATAATTATATATATAATAGTTAATAAGCTTTTCGATAAAGCAATTCGTATATATATAGTAATATAGTTATATATTATTATATAACTATATATATATTATAGTTATATATTTATATATTTAGCTATATATTATAGCTATATAATTATTATTATATTATTATAATAATATTATATAAGTAGTATAGTTATATATATGTAATTATATACATATATAGTTATATATATAATAGTTAATAAGCTTTTCGATAAAGCAATTCGTTGGTTGAGACGCCACAGAAAAGCTATATTTAATCGATGAAAAACTTAGTTGAATAAAATTTAAATAATAAAGGTTGAATATAACGTAATAAACAACAAGAAATTGCTGGAATTAATTTTGACGAGTTTCGACTCGAAGAAAATGGATTTGAATCGACCAGAAAGTAAGGGAAACGAAGGGGTGTCGGAGAAATTCACGTCGATCGGTACCGAAATCGTCTGTGAAATGAAATTTCATGGCCCGGATCACCTAAAATTCCGTGTCACCGATTAAAAACCCGCCGAAACCAAAATCCCGCCGCGCAAACTAATTCCAACTTTGATTCTGTCGAAGTAAATTTGATGGAAACTGTTTCAAACTAAAATTGACTGGTTAAAATGTCCAAAAACCGTATTCTGACGGAACAACGGCTGATTGGAAGTAGATTCTACCGAAAAGGATTGTCCTCTGGCTGGAATTAAATTTTGACCAGTAGAAACAAACGCTCAGCGAAACCAAAATCAGGCGAACAAAATTGTTTAACAGTAAACCTACCACGGTCAAAGTGGCTGCTTTCTTATTTTGCAATTCTGCAAACGGAAACGCTCGAATAAGTTATATTATTGGAGCAAGTTTTATAAATAAATATATATAATATAATAGAATAATATATAATATAAATACAAATAAATATAATATAATAATATAAATATATATCATATAATATAGTAACATTTAATATAAATATATATATAATATAATAATATATAATATAAATATAAATAATAAAAACTTTACAAATTCCAAATAAATTCGGTCTTCTCACTTTTGCGAAGCAGAGTACACGCCAGTTAGTATTTTGCTGCTTGATAAGTTTAGTGTTAAGTCGACAGTCGCAGCGAACTAGTTCCGCTGGTTTTTTCGACTGGTTTAAATCTAGCGATTTCCGTGCGCGACACGTGTCCACTAAATTTCGAAGCGCAAAACATTTACAATGTATATTCTCGTGCTCGGAAGACGGTAAACATTATCGGAGACGGTCGACGTCGTCGTTCGTTGGAAAATGCAATTTCGATGTTTTTATTACGCGCGCTAAAAGATGACGCGTAAAAGTAACGTCGTGGAAGACATTGTTGCGAAATCATTTCGATCAAACAGATTGTAATAGCTTTTTCGCGCGGACGGTTTGCCGCGGCTGCTCTATTTATACGTACCGCCAATTTACTTGTTCACGAACCGGTCACGTGAAATCCTTTTTTACAAAGCTTTGGCAACCGTCCATTCACACGTTTTACAAGGATGCGTCGTCCTATCCTTGACTTTTTCCCAATTTACAACGAATAGAAGAAGCGAGACGCGAACGCATTTCGTTACACGGCTTCGTTTTAGGAGATCCACGAGGCGGTTGTTCTCGTTCCGTGTCTTCTCCTTCGCACATCTGTTGAAAACGTTCGTTTCTGTTGAAAAAGAAAGGAAATTTTAGCCTCGAACAAAAGTTAACCCTTTGCACTCGAAGTTTTTTTTGAGTCATATTACCAGCAACTCGAAGCCATTTTAGTGAAAAGACCATATTCACATGTAAGTTCATGATATAAGCATTAAAAGAAAAGTCATCGTTGTACGTTATTATTTTTTTCATTGTTTATGGATACAAACGTCATTTGTCACCAACAGCGAAACATCCTATAACTAATTTTTACGATTTGTTTTTGTTCTTATGTTAAAAACTGAAAATTATTTGCATTGTCTCCGTAGCGGAGCCCTCGAGTTTGAAGACAAATTTTAAATGGCTCCGCTCCGGAGCCCTCGAGTGCAAAGGGTTAATCTATAGTTTACTTAGTACTAAGATACTAAGATATCGGTTTACATTTTCGTCGGTTCCGTCAGCGGGCAACGACTGTGATGTAAACTGTATATAATAGATACCGCGATACATCATCACCGGTACCATTAGATACACATCGTGCCCTGACTGTTTGGGGATCCCAGCGTCACGTATACAATGTGAAACGCGACAAATAAACGTCCCTGATTGGTGGATAAGACGAACCCAAGAAGGGTATAAAAGAAGCGTTTTTT